TCTTCATGTTATCTCTCTGTAATGGGGGCTGTAACAAGTTTCACTCTGGTGTCTGCCCTCCTTTCTCTCCCACAGCGACAGATGTGATAGATTAACGATGCTGCTGAGAGCTGGATCGCTCTCTCGGTGTGTGTGTGTGTGTGTGTGTGTGTGTGTGTGTGTGTGTGTGTGTGTGTGTGTGTGTGTGTTTTGTAGGGGTGAACAGCCTTTGCCAGTCACTGAGTGCCAACCCGTCCATCCCCAGCAGCCTCGTCCATCTGGACCTCTCAGGGAACATGCTCCGAGGAGACGACATGCAGGTACTGCAAGCTTGAAGAAAAAGAGGAATAAAAAAAAGATTTCTTTACTGACAAGAAGATTTTTATACAGGATAAAAACAACAGCCCAATACCAATTTTTCAGCTTATAAAAGAGTGTTAGTTTTAGACAGGGCTTGTTCTTTTCTGTTCATTGTACAGTAGTCCAATTATTAAATAACAAGGTTAGTATTTTAGTAGATTTTTTCATTCAGATTGTTTTTTTTTATTTTATTTTTTATTTATTTATTTATTAGGTTTTATAGATTTAGTATTTGAGCACTGCTTTAAGCTGCAGGCAAAAACTGCATCAATAATATATTTAGGCCCCCAATAACATAAATCCTCACAGCTGAGTTTGGTAATAGTGGCCAAAATGCTAAAGCTTGTAAATGTTGGGAGCATCATGATGACAGAAACTAAAAGTAGTAAAGAAATTGTGGATTTATCACAAGATGGATGAATGGATGCACTTTAATAATGCAAGCCTGGGATTTTATGAAATAAAATTCCATATTTGTATCTGTAAAATCAAGAAAAACAATTTTAGGCATTAAATATATTAAAAAATATAAATAAATATGTTCTTAAGTATAAAATCGGTCAGCACTTTTGGGGGCGGGGTCAATGAGACAATAGTGACAAAGTTTTAAGACTAGACCGGGTTTGAATTGTTCAACTCACTGCTAGATTTTAAAGCATTTTTTTGTTTGTTTGTTTGTTTGTTTCCAGCACTTCTACAACTTCCTCGGCCAGCCCAACAGCCTGGTGACTCTTGACCTCTCCAACACGGACTGCTCCTTGGATCAGGTGCGTCAGTCTATCAGCTGCAGGAGGAGGAAGAATGTAACCAGATTCAGTGCAGAGCTGTGGAGAAAGTGTCCCATCCACTGTGATAATCAGTAACACTTTTTATCTGAACGTACCTCTCAGATTTACAGTTACTTTCTATAAACAGGAACACGCAGAGCTGCAACTCGTTATAAAATGTTATTATTATATCATATTTGGTTCAGAGTTGACTCTGTTGCTGTTTGCTGCTGTGAAGTTGTCTGAATTCTGTTCAGGATGTATTGATGTGGGTCTGAGAGCCAAGTGCAGTTCATTGATTATGTTGGGATGCAGCCAGCTGTCAGTCACTCAACATATGGATTAGCCTCTAAGTCATAGTTTTTCTTGCTTATGCACAGCCACCTCTAATTAAAGAAATACTGCGACGGTAATGAAGATCACGCGTGACGTCACGTTATTGTGTTTCAGGTTTGCTCGGCTCTGCTGCGAGGCTCGGTCCAACACCTCTCTGTTCTAAATGTGTCAAAGAGTGTCTTCCCTCACAGGTGAGAAGCTTTCAAAGGTTTTACTGACCAAAAGTGGATGAGAGGAAAGCAAATGTATGTAACCCATCACATCCAACATTGGTTAAAATGTTTGCAACAGTTGCATTTTGTCAAAATATAATGAATGAATATCTTATCTACAGGTCATTTAAATGAAATATCAGAAATATATTCTTAAATAATTATTTGACACACTTTTTTGAGCAGTAGCTATAAAAAAATACATCTTGAGCAAAAAAGTACTTAAATTTTTGTAATTTTTCCAGTGAGCTAGCAAAGCATTTTCTTTCCAATTGGCAAATCTTAATATCCAAATAATTTTTGAGGTTTCCCCTTCATAATGACAAAAAAATTCTCCTTAGAATAACCTAAAAATTGATTTGGACTAAATATAAATAGGTTATACTAATTAGGAAGACAAATCTCTGGAACCACTCCTATCAGGATGAGCAAAATGTAGCTTTAAAAGCAGGAAACTGAAAATTTACTCAGCATTTTCACCAAATATGACTCAATCCTCAATTTGATGTGACAGGTCACATATTTCTTCTTATACTTTTATTAAGTTCTAAATAAAATGTTTCAGTTTAAAGTGCGTTAACATAATACACACGTTCCAAATGAAGATCTACAAAACAAGAGGCGAAGGAAATGCAAAATAACTGGCAAGCTTGAAAGATGCTAAATAAAAAGCTGAAGTTGGTCTTTATTCTTTACAAATTCATCATCATTCCTGAATACATTGAAATAGCTTTAAATGAATCACTTGTTGTTATTATTGTCATATTTCCAAGAACTAATGTTTGTTTAATGCCAAAGGCTGAAATAGTAGTTCAGCTTATTCCAAGTGAGTCACAAGTGAGTATTTTTGCTAAATTGATGCAGAAATTAGCATCCTTACTAGTTTGTATTTTTTATTATAAAGTTGAATGAAACAGTAGTCTGTGCAGTGGTCCATCGTGCACTGACTGGAATGTTGGTTTTGACGAGAAAAGAAACGTGTGTGCATTACTGTGTCAACAAAGCATCCATTGTCTGCTGCACAACTGACCACATTAGAGTTACCATTTCAGCTGTTACAGACCGTCTCTGCTCATGACTGACACCTGCTGGTCATCTTGTCTTATCACTTGTTGTCATAAAGGCCACATCTAAAGGTTGTGTTTGCATATCTGGAGTGAAACAGATGGGTGAACTGTGCCTCTTTGTTCCAGTACAAGAGGGCAGTGAAGGTATTCTGAATGCTAGGGGGAGTGTTGCGAGGATGAGCAGAGTAAACATGACCTGTAATAAATGKGGAAGAAAAGGAAAAATATAGATGTGGAGCAAAAGTGGGATTTCCTGTAATAATCAGTTTTTAAAATCCTCATTACATGATTTGATTTGTGGTGCATGAATCATGTCTTAACTGTATATAAAATTTATAGTGGGACATTGGCTTGTAGCATTATGTAAGCAGAAGTGGGCTGTAACAAAGTAAATGTATATKAGTATTAAGTAGATGATGATATGCAGCTTTAAACAGATTGTGAAGAGAAGAATWATAACTATTTTTGTCCTACTAGTGTTACCTTACAGGTACACAGGTATAGGTATACTAGATGTTTCAGCAGGTCTTTGTTTAGATCCTGATTAGTTCTGATTTTAACATGAACTCATCTCATTTAAAACATAAGTTAGAGCATTTTACACTTTTAGTCCTTTTATCTATTAATGCATTTCTACCAGATACAGTTTGTTACATTGTTTTTAAACTTTTACAGTAAATGGTTGRCAGTATTTTTTAAATCCTGGTGGTTTTACTTTTGTTTCGTTGTTTTGTAGGAAAGGCAAAGAGGTTCCTCCCTCCTTTAAGCATTTCTTCAGCAGTGCCGAGTCTCTCAGCTCCATCAACATGTCAGGAACCAAACTGCCGCCAGAGGCCCTGAAGTGAGACAAGAACTCAGTTACAAGTTCACTTCCATTCACTTGCTCCCAGATCAGCTGTTTTATGATTCAGTGACACATTTGTAGTTTTCTCATTATTTATCATGCCACTTTAATTGTACAGAATAAACATGACTATAGTTGCTCCGATAAAATCCTGATTCACAAACTGATTATTAATTTTAAGATGACTTCTGCTAAAAATGTATTTCCCTTACTTTTTCATTCTTGGTGAGTTTCTTACTGCCTATATTGTATCACTTCAGAGCTCTTCTACTTGGCCTGGCCAGTAATCCCAGTGTGAAGGATGTGTCTCTGGATCTCAGCTGCTGTGAAGTAAGACCTTCAGAAATATCTCACAGAATCTGTTTGAAAAAAAAAAAAAAAAGTATTTTTTTGTTTTGTTCTGTTTTCTTCATGACAGACACAAATTCAACCCTAAATACTCTATATTAGGGAAGACCAACTTATATGATGGAAGCGGACTCAATTTTTTGTTGACACTACCAGAGGGCCACATAACTCTAATAATGCTATGTATTATAGTGACGACTTATATTAAATTCATTCAAAGCAGACCGTGTTTCTAAGCAGACTAAACACAGCCTTGAAATTTTGTGAACAGAAAACCTCCCTTCCATTTCACCTGAAACGTGGGATTTTATCTGTCCAGTTTTTTCTTTCCTCCATTCTTTGGCCCGGTCCCAATACTCGCACTACACCGTACACCCCTCTATGAAGTGTGTACTCAGCTGAAATGCACATAAGAGTTCAAGTGTGCAGAATTCAAGCRTGCAAAAATTATAGAATTGGGAGAGAATGCGTTTAATCATCGACTTGCGCCCCTGCGTCGTAACTGCGACATCCAAAATGGCGGGACCGGTCACTGTTTTGGTATTTGTACAGTTAAAAATTATAGTACAACTAAGAAAGCACATGAACTGAAGTAGGCTTATACACCAGAGAACAAGCCTTCTTCTTCTATAAGTTCTTGTATTTTTGATTTTATTAGCAGTTGGTAGACTAATTTAAGAGCGTTACCACCACCACTAGACTGGAAGGTATTCGGTTCAAAACGAAACAGCGATGAATTGTGGGTAATACACTTCGCCGAAGTCCACTTGGATGCAGGCTTAGCTGAAGTGTGGATTAGTGGTGAAAAAAATGGAGAATTGGGACACACTACGCACTGGAACAGGTATTTGAGGTGCACAATGGTGTAGTTCAAGTATTAAGACTAGGGGTGTAAGAAAATATCGATACACTGAAATATCGCGATATTTCATTTCCCGATACTGTATCGATATTCTAAAGCCCTGTATCGATTTTTAATTAAGGTTTAAAATGTCAACCTTCTTGCCAACCGTTCATTTTTATGTTGTAGTTCAGCCTCTGACCACTAGTTGGCAGCAGTGAGCCAGCCATTTGGCTCCTCTACCTCTTGAGTGCCAGAGAGTAAGGGTAGCATTAGCATTGTGAGTAAACATTAACTTTTCTTTTCTTTTTTTTCCCGTAAGAGGTTTTTATCTAATAGAATTTTTCGACAAAAAAATCGCAATATATCGCAGTATATTGCCTTGCTTACAGTATCGCAATATATCGGGATATATCGTATCGTGACCCCTCTGTTATGATATGTATCGTATCGCCAAATTCTTGCCGATACACAGCCCTAATTAAGACTGGGCCTGTGTTGTGTCTTGGATAAATGTCTCCCTTGCTGGTAGAGAAGACGTGTGCAGAAGGTGGCGTCTGCGTTGGAGGCGCCATCTAGTGGCAAACTTTGTCCTTGCAACCAATTCAGTGCGACTGAGACACTTTATTACAGTTTTGTAACAACCCGAGGGTCCTCATTTGCCCAGCCCTTCTCTACATATTGTGGATTTGTGAACATGAATAAAATGTTTTTTTTTAATTATTTGTCAAAACAAATTTTTGTAATACTTTATTTTAAAATTTATAGTAATTAAATTCCGTACATTGTAAGTTGATAATGTTTATAAAACATTTTAAAAAACTGTTTCATTTGTCTAATGGTACTTCTTAGTTTTTCCCTCCCTAGCTGTTGCAGAGTGCTCTTGTGAGCTGGTTTTATGAAAGTGATTTTCAACTACTTGTGACTAATATTCATCCGAAACAAAAGGACTTTTTATTTTGCACTTGAAAACCATTTGACAGAGCAGTGGCGATGCAAAGAGGCAGAATAATGGGGAACTTGGCAGGCAGGGTGATGGAGAGGGAGGCGAACAGATAGATGCTGTGGGTGGAGGGTCACTTTACCTCTGTTGCACCACAAGATGCTCGAAGGTTCTCAGCAGCGTTTTGTGTTCTTTTCCTCCTCTTGTTTGAATGGTAGCAGCTCTTTGCTGAATACAAATTAGACGGAAAGTCTTGTTTCAGATTCCTAGAAAAATCTGTCTAAACTGGTGCTTCAGGGATGAAATCATGCGTCCACCTCCTCCTAAAAGCCTGTAAATGAACCGTTCAGTGAAGGCGGCCCAGAGCTGTTCAGAGTGATCCGACAATGTGGAGAGCCAGGACTCCCTGCGACTCCCTGCTGAGCGCCTCGTGCATGCCAGAGCGTGTTTGTCTTTGATGGCTTTATGTTGGAACACAAGAATGATCATTAAGCATCTGTGTGTGTTTTGTTGCTGGTAATTGCTAGTTTGGTATTGACACGCTGTTTTCTCCTCCTCATGCTTCTGTTAGCTTGGCCATTGTGTAAGTACAAATATGTTCACTCCTGCTAATTAACGTCTCATTCTTGTTTTTTGTTTTAAATTGCACGTCTGATTTGACATTTTATTTCTCTTCTCATTAGATTGTCAGTGGGCTTCATAATTTTCCTTTTTGGTTTTACATTAAAAAGCTATTCTGAATAAATTGGTTATTTCAGATGAATAAATTAATAATTGCTTTACAATTATTTGCATTGTTTCAGCATTATAGTTCAGATGCTTTAAAGTGGGAYAACCCTGTTGCTGATAGCTCTTTGGACAGTTTCAGTTTAGAGAAATAGTTTCATTCTAACTGGACTGATGAGATGATTTTGAGTAAATGTTGCTGTTCAAAAGTCCAATCTCAAATACTTTTTAGCATTTTACGCTAACACATTTGCATCAACACCAAATTTGCAGGACACAGTCAATCAGGCAGAAATATTGGGACATCCTGCAGTAAGTGTCCCAGGTTAACACCGTTAAAGTGAAGCAGAGAATCATAGTTTCGGTCTTTGTGTTCTGGTTTTCAGCTGCGGTCTGGGGGTTCTCAAATCCTTGAGAGTTGTATTGCTGAGATCCCAAACATTTCCAGCCTGGATCTCTCTGATAATGGTGAGTTGATGACAATGGCGGTTCTTTTGTCTTTTCTTTATTTACCAAAATAAAACCCAGAACTTTTTTATATCTGCAAAAACAATGAGAATATGTGAGTTTTTTTTTTTTTGTGTGTTTTTCCTCACTCCAGGATTGGACTCAGAACTGTCTGTTCTGCTCGTTTGGTTAGCCAAGAACCGCTCCATCAAACACTTGTCTTTGGGCAAGAACTTCAACAACATAAAGTCAAAGTAAGACTACAGGGAGGGGCTGAAGAGAAAACTCTCTGGTTGGTTCTAAAATAGGTTGGGTCTTAAGAGTCTGTCATAACAGTCTTCTTTTGTAGCTAAAAGTTAAAGGGAACCTATTATGCAAAATTCACTTTTTAAAGGTTTTTTTACTCAACTTTGGGTATGTACTTCTTAAAAAAACAGTCCTAGGACCAAAAAAAATGCACCCAGGGGCATATTTACTGTAAGTAAATGTATTTTTAATGTGTATTAAGTTTTATACTTCCTACATTTTGTGATGTCACAAGCYGTACGACAACCCACCGCAATCTGCGTTCAGCCCCTCACCAAGCAACCCCCGGGTGAGACTCCACCTCCAGTATAAAGAGCCGTCACCGTTGTTGTTGTGCAATGTGTAGCTCATTTCATAACAAGCCTCCAATAGGGCAATGGATAGAGTGTTGGACCAAAGAGCGGGAGACCAGGGTTTGAGACCGACACGGACACAATTTAATTATTTATTTTCATTCGTTATGATCATGTTTTCTCATGTACCTCTATTGTTTTTAGCTTTAGCCTATTTGTTCGAGTTTCTGAGGTATTTTGACCGCTGCTGCTCCAATTACCTGCCCTGGTAACAGCATGCAGAGTGAGCGCAGAGCTCCGACAGAGGAGGGGGAAAACAAAAAGCTGCGACCACGACTCTGCCTCTGAGTCTGACTCATGGGTCTCATATATAAGGT